TAAAATTACTGGATCTAAAAATAAAGCCGTGGTTAAAAGCCTCCCCCACCTTCTCCAATCTCCCACCCCTTCCACCCCTCTCCTTCTCCCTCCCTCCCTCCCTCTCTCCCTGCCTCTCTCCGTGTGTTTGCGTTTGACAAAGAAATTATTTGAACGTCCCACTGCCTCATAAGAAAAAAAAAAAAAAGGAAGCAGAATAGCAGTTTTGACATATGGATGTGATTTTTTCTGCCCTGGGACAGATGCACGCGGAGCGCGAGCAGCAGCGGGGGCCGCGGCGCTGAGCGGCCGCGGTGGCTCCGCGTCGCACGGGTCCTGCGGCCACATCTCCAGCCATGAGAAAGCGGAGCAAAGGACCGGGCTCGCTCGTCATGTGCCTTTCCGGCTAAAACTGTGGAAAACAAGCAAACAAGCAAACAAGCACCAATTCTGGAAGGGGGGGGGACGGTGGTGGGGGTGGTGGGGGGGGCGGGAGGGAAGGAGAAGGCGAAATCATCTGCAAGCGGCGCGCCGCGAGACCTCTCGTCCTCCGACTTCCCCGAGAGATCTTGGATGCTGGAAGAAGCCTCTTGGATATGGGATCATATCTGGTTTATCACAGTCTGGGTTTGATCCTCTGCTGCTCCGTCCTGAGTTCCGTCTACGCGCTGGTGAGTAGCCGAATCTTTTTCCCTTCACGTTTTTGAACAAGCTGCTCGGCTGTTTCCTTGATGAGTAACTTACTGTATCAGGGATTAAGAAGAGTGGTTGTTTTATTTTTTTTCTTTTTTTTTTTCCACCTCCCCTCTTTTTTTTTCTTTTTTTTTCTTTTTTTCTTTTTTTTTTTCCTCAGACCAAGGCTTCATTTAGCTGGCAGATAGCGAGTGTCTTTGCTCCCAGAGCTGCCGCACCAGCTGAAATTAAAATGTCTGTGACCCCCCGAGGGAGTTTGAATCACTTTTAAAACCCTCCAAAGAGAAACGCGTGCAGTTTGACAGGGCGAAGAGGCAAAAGGCAAGCAGTGCAAGAGACACCTAGATGAGAGTAAAGGGAAACTTTTCAGCTTCTTCTTTTTTTTTTTCTTTTTCTTTCTTTTTATTTTTCCTACAGTCTACCCACCAGCATGAGCAACTTCATTTTTATTTAATCTCTTTAATCTTCTTAACCTCAGCAAAATAGTGCCTTTCTCTCTGGGATTATCTTTAGAGAGGACCTCAGAGTGCAGAACTCAATGTGAGGATGGCAGTTTACACTCGGGAGAATGAGAGTAGTATTAACCCCTTGCTCTCCAGGGCTGTTTTCACCTGTTCTTGCATACCCTCACGAAGGGTTTTTTCCTTCCAGAGGAAGACAAGTGCTGCAAAAAGGGCTAAACTGTCTTGATGGCAGTGATGGGCAAGGCATTAAGCTCCATAGACCCACTTGACAGCCTTGAGTGTTTTCTCAAAACCTTCTGCAGAAAAGGAGGTAAATATCACCCAAAGCCAGACCTTAGGTTTGAATCCCTGATGTGCATACAGCTTTGACGTGACCCTCAGTTTCTTTTTCCATCCCTGACATTAGCTGCATTGCTGCGCTTTTGCAGTACCCTCTAGCATAGCAAGTGACATGAGCACTACCTGGGATGGCGCCTGCTATCTTCAGGAGATATCTGATGGAGACGTGTTTGGAAGGGAGCAGGTTAGCTGCAATCCCAGCTCCTGGTGGGTCTTCCCTGATGCTCCAGGATCCATCAGGCTTAGCTTATTCTGCTAGGTTTAGTAGGAATTGTTGGGGACTTTATGCTGTCCAAGGTGAGTGCTTCCCCAAGACTTCTAGCATCATGCTGGAGGAAAGCATCTCATTGATAAAACAAGAGGTAACTGTGGAAAGAGTTACTATTGTGGTCCATGCCTACCACTGTCCATCTCCAAGCATGGATAAACCTTTGAAAGCTCAAAGAAAATCAAGAGATGCTGGTGAGGTCAGGTGTAGAGTCTGTAAAGGTCCAATGATGGTTGAGGTTGAGATTCTAGATTCAGACCAGCACCTCCTCTGCCCACAGTCATCTTAGGGGCCATCTCTTCATGCAGTTTATGGGGATGTTACCTGCTAGCTTCTTCCTTCACAGACCTGCTGGTGCTGAAGTCAGCAACAAAACACTCATTAGCTTCAATGTCCCTGTGGGTGCCAATGAAAATCAGAGATTTGGGACAGCCAAAATTAGAGTTAGGCAAGCTTCAGGAGACAAGAAAGGTGGGATAGCACTCTCCTGCTCATCTCCAGCCTTATTAATACCTGCTTTTTTTCTAGTCTGATGGCACATCTAGAAGGTGCAGAAGATCCGAGTTGGTGTCAAGTCTCAGCTCAGGTGTATTCAGCATTTTTTTTTTTAAATTTATTTTTAACTTGTGTGCAATCCAGAGCTAAGGAAAAGAGCAGTAATCCCTCAACAAGAGAGATACATTGTTTGATTTATCCGGGCCCAAAGCACACTTTTTGAGACCCCTCCCTTGCTTTTCAAACCTGCTGCTTGGTTTACAGGTTAGCAAGAGCTAAGGAAAATCCCAGGCAGTCTGAAAAGTTACCCTTAAAATTCAGAGCTCCAAAGATATCCTGTGTCTCCTCTGTTGTTCCTTTAATCATTAGGAGAAGAAGGGGACACCCCTGTCATCCTGTTGTTTAATGACTTGCGAGGCAGGGAACATATTGCAGGGAGCCTAGAGCCTGTTTGCTTCCCTCCCTCCTAAATTAACTTGATTTTTAAAATTAACTTTAAATTGGCTGCATATTTTAACACCATGGCTTCTTACTTGCTTCATGAGAAGGGTTGTCTACACGCTTGATGTTTTGCCCAGCAGGTCTGAATGGGTTTTAGGGGCTGTTGTCAGCTGTAAATGCCTCTTTCCTTGCAATAATTGCCATGGTGCTTGCAACAAGGTTGCTTTGCACCCGACAGTGGTGACCACAGGGATCAGCCAATGTCTGACATGTCCTGCTGTCACCATCGAGACATCCTGTGCTGATCTTTTCTCTTATTTCTATATTATGCTTTGCTAAGAATGCTGATAAAGGTGCTGCATGCAATGAGTGCTGAAGTGGGGGTGGGAAATGTTCTCTCAGACTCTTGGTACATCGTGGGGTACATCAGTTGCTAGATGAATCAGTCTCCAAAGAGCAGTTCAGGCTGCACATCTCTGCCTTTAGTTGTGAGGCCACAAAAATACTCAGCACACGGTAAAATGCCCTGGAAGTGGGTGCTCTTGGAGGCAACTGCATCCCTCTCACTTGCGTTTCATGCTGTGGCCCATCCAGACGCTCATTTCTCATGGGGTCCATGTGGATGTTGTGCCCGCTATGAGGCTGTAGCATCACCAAAGCCCCATCACAAGATCTGTGCCCAGTCCCTGGGGTTTCAGGCAGCAGCTGAGAGGGACCGAGGCTGCTTTCTTTGACATGCGGTAAATAACTTCTGTGATGATCTGATCACCTCCAATTCCCCATCAATCCCCACTTTCCATGGGAATATTCCCAATTTAACACCTGCCTGAACACACAGGGCACTTCTGCCCTTTGAGCAAGCGATTTTCTCCTGAAATTTGGCTGTGTAATAGCGCAGATTTGGGTTATTCTCCTTCCTGGTCCAAGGACCAAGGAAGTACAACCAGCTTGAACCAGAAAATCCCGCAAAAGCAGGCTTAAAAATATGATGCATGCACAAGGAGCTTTAGAAATGGGGATCAACCTCAGGAGTAGTTAAGGTGCAGGTACTAAGATTTTATCTGAGAAACTCTGCCAAACTTTCCTGAACTCCTTGCTCCAGAAAGACCTCTTCATG